ATAATAATATCACGTGTCATCCAGTATTATAAAATTATAATATGATATGTGATTATATAATCAACTTTTTTACTTATAAGTTTATTTCTAATATTATATAGATACATTCCTTTAATAATATATTATGATTATAAGTTGATAATTTTATGTAACATAATAACAATAACATTGCCATAATATATATATTTTAGTCATTAATTAACATATAAAAAATGAAAATAACTTTAATTTTAATAATTAACTAATTAAAATAAAACAAATGACATTAATGCTAAAATTTTTTTATATGATTTAATAGTTAAAAGATACATTATTTGTACCTTTAAAATACTTTTAATGAATATCAATTTTTTAAAGAAATTTTCTAATATATTCTTTAAGAATATAATAAATGTCTTTTTTAAACATTACAATTTACATTAAAAAATAAAAACGTTGATATTGATTTTATTACTCATGACATATATATTTTTAATTGAAAAAATTAATGAAATTAATATTTAATTTGATTTACATATTAATTATTAAAAAAATATAAGAAATAATTCGGTAAGACATGAACTAAAAAACTCTTTTTTAAAATGCAAATTGCAAAAGAAAAGCGCATCCAATGCCACTCCCACCGGTTTCTTCAGAGACCCCAATTTCAAGACAAAAAGATGTCTATTTTAGAACCCCACCACGATCCCCTCTTTTTAATTTCTAAATATTTTAAGTGAAACTTGATTCAAAATCAGTACTTGGAGAAGTTGCATTTGATTTCAATTGATGGCAGCTGTGACCCACCACCACAAAACGATTCCCTCTAATAATTCATCCCTTAGCTTCAAGCAATCAAAGCTACCTAAGAAAATGAAGCCATAACGGTGGATGAGATATCCTTTTTCTTCCTCAAATTTTAAATTATCATAATCTCTCACAATTAATCTTTCTCTCTCTCTCTCTCCTGCTTGTGACTTTGAGTTGTGTTATTTTCAATGATAATAATTAAAATTAAGATCATGGTGATAAGGATAACTGAATTATTATAAGATTTTTTTATTCTGTAGGCATAAATTAGTGGTGTATTAATTATATTTTATTTATTATTAATTGTTAAAAAAATAAAAATTAATTTTAATTTTATTGATCAAAAATTAAAATCATACACCATTTTAATATGTGCAATTAATACATCTTTAATATGTGTTTTTATGACACAAGTTAAATAAATCCTTGTAATATATAAGAGAAAATTGTGTTTTTTTTCTCTAACTTTTTTTTTTTTGATAATTCCATATAAATTATATATATATATGTATACATAGGAAGTTTAATTAC